AAAAAAAAAAAAAAAAAAAAAAAAAACACTCATAAAAATACAAAAACAACGTATGTTATGAAAAAAAATAAAATAAACAACATTTGCCTGAGCATTACATCCAAATTCCTTACCAAATTCAAAATAAAAATAAAATATGGAAGCTAAACATTAATAAGAAAAATAAAAAAAAATAATGAGAAATTAGAGAATTAAAATTAGTGACTGCGCAAGCCTGTTTTTGACACCGCCATCTTTGTTGATTTTTCATTTTTCTTTGACACATCCAAATGCCCTGAAAATTTGTATGTGTGTACTTCAGATAATAAAAAACTCATAAAAAAGGTTCAAAAAATAATAAAATTGATGAGGCCCCGAAATAAAGTAAAAAAAAAAAGTAAAAAGTGAAAAAATAAAATTGTGAATGGGCGAGCGCGCTTTGACACTTCCATCTTTGAAGATTTTTCATTTTCTTTTGGTAGAGCAAAATAACTTCAAAATTGATAGTTGATTAGATGACGATGCATGACACGTATAACTCCATGCAGCGTGATAGTTTACTCAAAGCAAACTGAGATAGATGTACCAATTCAAAACGAAACGCAAAACGTGCATAGAAATTGTCGATGAGCTCAGGCACAATATGCGCGACTTTCGTCTACGCATCTGGCTATCCCCGACGCGTTTCGGCTGGAGCCAGATCCAGCCTCATCAGGGGGGCGTCTCGAACTGAGAGACCTATCATTCAGAACCCCCAGATCTTATAGTCCGAGCGGCTCTGAAAACAGAAACAAGCCACACAAATTTTAAAGCCGAAAAAACAGAGACTAACCACTACATCATACCCCCATACATGGCCCACAAAAATTACTCCTACTTAGTACCCGCTACAGCTACCGGCCAACCCTTCGGTAAACTACCCTGAGCGGACAACAATAATCACCTACTGACACCCTTGCCTGAACCTATATATCCCATGTAATCCTTTTTGCCAACTTCGCCCAATTTGGGGCCTGTTTCCTGACGAATTTCCAGAGAGTTCCGTCAAAAAGTTCAGACGGATAGTCCTGTCTCCTCAGTTCGCATTTCAGCGTGAGCAGGCTCTCTTCCGTTCCCGACATCGACATGGAGCATTCCTTGATCTTATAGATCATACCGTTAACCAACGCCCTCTTCTGCCTTCTACAAGTGTATGAGCAAAAGTCCTGAAAATTCATGTAGCACAGGCGGCCCCCTGTATTCCAGATCTCTTCAAAATTCTTCAATCTGTACCAGCAGACCACCCCCTTTCCATCAATTTTAACCCTACAGCCCAGGAAACTTCATTCGTTTGTTTCTTCATCCGTTCTCTTAAGTGTAAGCTTCCGGTCATAGGCCCCTTCAAACTTCCTAATGATTTCCTCCACCTTCCTTCTCTTTTTCACGCCCCAACCTTTCCAGGCAAAAAGTGACACGTCATCAACTAACCTTATCCCTTACACCAATCCTGCATCCCTCCCCAAACTTTTCAAAAACCCGTACTCGAAGAACGCACACAAAATATATGCAATGGGATGGCTACTCGACTTCCCCATTGAAATACCCTCCTTCTGTCTGATCAGCCTTTCCGATGCCCAAAGAAAGGTGTTTTCCAGGTCGAATTCAACCATCTCCTGAATCATGGCGAAGTCTATTCTCAACCACCCTTCTTCTTCTTTCTTGTTTCCAAACGAAGCACTCTTTCCTTTTGTCCTCACCATAACAAACTCTCTTCCTTTACTCGCAAAAAAGTTCAAAATCCATTTCACAGCCTGTTTCATAGTATCGTGAGACAACTTACTAAACATTTCTTTAATGTCATAAGCTTCTCCCACGATCTCCCCTTGACCTTTCTTCCCAGCCCATTTGTTCACCCTTTCTAGCCTCGTTTTCAGCTGACTTGTGGACTTTAGATTGAAGTGATCGTTAATCAGCAAAGAATTCAAAAGGAAGTTCAAAGCTCTAGAAATCCTTTCATTCGCCGTTCTCGACGGTTCACTGAACGATGGCGAGATCGACCGTGACTTCATCGTATCCTTATGTTTGGGCGGAGCGTAGGCCTTGCCCCAGGATCCCTTATTGTTCTGTTTTCCAATCTCCTTCAATCCCCGTCCCTCATAGTCCTTCTTAGCTTTGACCATCACCTCATCTTCCTCTCTCCAGACTGCTTCGAAGGCATCATTCTCCCAAAAGCTCTCCTTCATCCCTGTTTCATAGACCACTGGACAAGCGGACAGAAAATCATACCATTCCATCTCCCCTTCACCTCCTCGATTACATCGAGTAAGCCATGCTTCTTATCTATCCTCCTCCTCATGCAACTCCTTGCCTCTTGGATGGTCCATACCGACTCAATTCCATTTTTCACCATTTCATCATTCATCTCACGACACAATTTTCAATCATCATCCCAACTGTCACACCCTTGCACCACGTTCTTCGAATTCATCACCCTAGGGTCCACATCGGTTCTGGAACTCAAGTGAAAGGATACGTGTTCCCCCTGACGGGGGAGTTCAAGGCCTGCACAGTAGCAGACCAACGCCATCTGACGACTCGCTTGTCTATGGTTAAGAAGAAGATTACTAACTGTCTGTTTTTTTTCGCCAGACGAGTCTTAGCTTCTGACATCGTATCCTTGCCTCAGTTTCAGAGTTGCACCCTTGCTTTATCTTACCTACTACTGTCTTCCTAACTTTCGCGCTTAGAATCCTCTTGTCATACTTCGCCCCTACCACTAACCTTCTTCGCAATGACACATTGAACTTATTTTTCGTCACCCTGTCTACTACCGCCTTCAGAGTTTTCTTTGTCGACTTTCTTGAGAAGGCCTTGACGTTCTGGAACAAAACGGCTAACTCCTCCAATCCCATCGCCGCTAGCTTATTCCTCTTCCAGGGACACCTTAACAGTTGATGTAGTTGCTGTATCAGCTTCGTGTCGCCCGGTTTCCTCTCCCTTACTCACACAAAATGAATCGTACCTCCCTTTTCGAAATGAGATTTCGCCTTCTTCAACTTCACTTTCTGCTCCCCTGTCAGCAAATCTGACTCACCAAACCTTTTTTTAATCATGCCCCAATCTTCTGCCCAAATCTCTCCTCCACTCGACACGACACCCCTTCTTTGTTTTCCTTTAATAGCGGTGATCGTGTCGGTCAACTTAGCCACCCCAGTCAAACCTTTCGTGGAGAACTTCAGCACCTTCTCCTTATCGAAGAACACCACTCGCTCCCTTTTCCGTTCTCTTCTCCCGTTCCTTCCTTTCTTCTTCGACAGTTACCTATTCCTTCCATCCTTCCACCCACTCGTATTCAACACAGGGCACCAACGTTTAATCAATCTCCCTTCCAACCCTTCCAAATCCTTCTTTCCCACAATCGCTACTGGGATCGCTATGTAAGATTCCCAACCCCATTTCCTGAGCCAGAAATACAACTTATTTTTCCCACGCTCCTTTCCCAGTGTTCTTCCGACGTGCTCTGCTCATCGCTCGCTCAGCGTGCGCTCGGTTTTCCCGATGTAGGTTTGTTTACACCACGGTTTAACCAACACGTATGCGCAGGACTTCGGATTCTCCCACCCCTCTCTCTCATTCTCGAAGATTTCCCAACAACATTCCACGAATTGTCTCCCCCATAACACCTCGTTCTCAAGAATCAGCTGCAAAAGAATGACGTTCCTCAAAATCCTCTCATCCAATGGTCTAAGCTCTTTAGCCTTCTTATTCAGTCAACACCATTTTCGGCATTCTAAGAATGTCAATAGTATCTTCCACCCCTCACACCTATTCGTCTGGTTCACCTGAATCCTCCTTCTTGTCGCCCCTTATTTGAATCTCGTCTTCCTTACTCGATGTGGAGCCCGGCGCTGCCTTCCCTCTGAAACAGAACGTAACTCGGAGCTCTGCCAGGATGTCAACTGCATCGTTAACACCATAAAACGGAATTGCCGCTCCTTTACACATTAACTGGAGCGTTTTTGGGTAAAACGATCCCAAAGTCTTCCGAACCGCTTTCTTGTACGCTGATTCCGTTGAAAACTTCTCGCCCATGGGAACGCCTTCCCATGGGTCCTCTCCTCGAGCCATCCTGTTTGGCTGTGCCTCGGTCTTAGTAGGCCTCCCCCTGCCCTTCCTCTTTGAGCTTGTCGGCGTGCTCGTATCCTCTTTCTTACCAAGCTTGGATGGTGTTTCCGTTGGTGGGTTGTTCTCGACATCCCCTGTAGAGTCCCGCCTCTTGCGTTTGTCGACTAGCGGTGTCACCACAACTTCTTCATCTTCGTCTTCTGAACTAGATGATGTTTGCGCAGCCACTGCAGTTTCCTTCTTCCCGATAGAAACTCTTTTAATGCCACTCCGCACAATTTTCTCCAATTTCGTTTCATACATCTCACGCTGTTCCGCCAACGACGTCTTAATCTCCCATTTCCTTTTCTGGATCTTCTCTTCCTTCACCTTCTTTTTCTCCAGCTCGACCCTTGCGGCCGCCTCTTTTGCTGCTTTCTCCTCTTCCTCTTTCTTTCTTTTCTCCTCCGCCTCCCTTTTAGCATCTTTCACCTCCTTCTGCTTCTCCAATAGTTGTTTTGCCATCCTCCCCACCACACTCAATGAGTCCTCCAACTCTTTGCTCAAGAAGACCATTCCTCCCTGTCCTCCGTTTCCTGGTCGTCCTTGCAGTCTCGGGCATTGACTTTTATAATGCCCTAGCTCTTTACATTCATAACACCTCACTTGTCTTGCACCCGCTTCTCCGTAGCCCCTTCTGTCGTAGCTGTCAGCCGAACCTCCTCTCTTGTCGCTGGGTCGGCGTTCCCTATACTCCTCCCGACTTCTATCTCGTCTTTCATCCCCGCCACTTTCCCAACCGCTCGTGTCATAACCGCCATACCTATCTCTTCTTTTTCTTGAGTCAAACCTTCGGCTCCCCATCTTCGGTGGTATTCGTCACACCTTCCAATACTTCACTTCAGACACTTGGTTTTAAGTCTCTGAACACAGCGATTCTGCCGAGTCCGACTGTTGTCGCCTCACTTCACCTGTTCTCGACCAGTGGCCTGCACTTCGGCTATCGTTCACCCCGGCTATCTGCTTTAGCTCCGTAGGATCTTTGCTCACTGCCACCAGGTTCCAAGTAATGTCCCTTGGTTGGTTGCAATGCTCGCTTCAAGTTGATTAGATGACGATGCATGACACGTATAACTCCATGCAGCGTGATAGTTTACTCAAAAGCAAACTTAGATAGATGTACCAATTCAAAACGAAACGCGAAACGTGCATAGAAATTGTCGATGAGCTCAGACACAGCATACGCGACTTTCGTCTACGCATCTGGCTATCCCCGACTCGTTTCGGTTGGAGTCAGATCCAACCTCATCATGGGGCCGTCTCAAACTGAGAGACCTATCATTGAGAACCCTCGGATCTTATAGTCCGAGCGGCTCTAAAAACAGAAACAAGCCACACAAATTTTAAAGCCGAAAAAACAGAGACTAACCACTACGTCATACCCCCATACATGCCCCACAAATTACTCCTATTTACCCGCTACAGCTACCGGCCAACCCTCCGGTAAACTACCCTGAGCCGACAACAAAAATCACCTACTGACATCCTTGCCTGGACCTACATATCCCATGTGATCCTTTTTGCCAACTTTGCCCAATCTGGGGCCTGTTTCCTGACGAATTTCCAGAGAGTTCCGTCAAAATGTTCAAACGGATAGTCCTGCCTCCTCAGTTCGCGCTTCAGCGTGAGCAGGCTCTCTTCCATTCCCGACATCGACATGCAACATTCCCTGATTTTATAGATCATACCGTTAACCAACGCCCTCTTCTGCCTTCTACAAGTGTATGAGCAGAAGTCCTAAAAATTCCTGTAGCAGAGGCGGCCCTCTGTATTCCAGATCTCTTCAAAATTCTTCGATCTGTACCAGCAGACCACGCCCTTTCCATCAATTTTAACTCTACAGCCCAGGAAACCCCATTCGTTCGTTCCTTCATCCGTTTTCTTAAGTGTAAGCTTCCGGTCATAGGCCCCTTCAAACTTCCTAATGATTTCCTCCACCTTCCTTCCCTTTTTCACGCCCCAACCTTTCCAGACAAAAAATGACACGTCATCAACTAACCTTATCCCTTTCAAAATTGATAGGGATGTACCTAACATCGTAGAGAACACACCGTACTTGCAATCGCACAAGCCGCACATTCGTGCGGAGTTCCACGCGGGGGGTGCCTGTGGGCAGCGTTGTCACGCGGGGATCCGCGGGGCCCAAGCCGGGGTAGGGGTTTCAACCCCGGAACCCCGCCGCGGGGCTACCCGACCCCCGCCCCCGCAAAAACAACTCCGGCCCTGCCCCAACCCCGCCACCCTCGCTCCCAGCCC